TATTAAAATTTACAAAGCCAAATCTCCTAATCTACCTCCAAATATAGCAGTGGTATTATTCCCACACTTTCAATTACTAATATTATATTTTTTTATTTTAATTGATAATTATATTTTTTAATTTATTAAAAAATAAAAAATGTAAAATTTTGAGAAAAAATATAATTTAAGGATATACTAAATAATTACATAAAAAGTGTATGATATTAACTATTTTAGGTGTGGTAATAACCCTACTCTCAAATATAAGGTAAGGATAGATTTATTCTCAAATTCAATCTAAGGACAAAATATTTTGCTGACTAATTGGACTAGGCAAATGGCCCCAAATTTAATTATTCCATTATATGACATCACTTTTCCCTTACTTTCTTGCTTGCATGACCTTTCTATCTTTTTATCTATGCTGGTAGTAATAAAAAATTGATACTATATAATATTAGTAATTAAATTTAAAAATAATTTACCCAACTTGATTTTTTTTTTTTTTTAACATAGAGAATTACAAGGGATGAAAGAATTTTTTAAATAATCGATGAAAATTGAATTCTTGATAAATTAAAATCAAGCATTAAGATTTATAAATAAACTATTATGTCCAAAAACCCTATTCATCCAACTTGATTTGTTAATAGAGTGATTTGTTCTGTATTTAATTTAAAAATAGACATCTTCCTACCCATACTTGAGGATAGCTTTGGGGTTTCCGCCAACTTACAAAATGACAAAAATTCACCTTAAATCTTCCTCCTCCTCACCCGACCAAAAATATTTTGTACACCATGAATCGACATTCACATATAAACTAATTTAATGATATATTATCGATCCTCAAATATTCAAAATGTTTTGACTTTGCACCGAATCTTTCGGACCAAGTGACAATAACCACCCATGGTGTATTCTCCTCCCAAAACTAGGGTTCGAACCCAACCGTCGTAAAAATCTGTCCAAAAACAAAAAAAAAATGTCCTGACTTCTATCCCATTATCTATCCTGTGGATCTTTAAGATATCCCATTATTTAGGAAATTATTGCTAGAGGTCACCATTGACACTGACATTTGTAGTTCAAAACAAAATAAATCATTTACATTTAGAACATAACAATTGAGCCACCAACCTGTACCCCATCGAAATATTGCTTGGAAAACCTAATAATTAGATCACCATGGACGATACCATTTTGAAATTTTCAATGATAAAAAGATTCTGATTAGGATGACAGTTTCCTCGATGTTCGTAGGGTTTTGTGAGGATTACTGTCATGGTAAAAGGGGAGGGGCGGAGATGAACAAATTCTATTGTATTTCGAGAATATTGTTGACATGGTATTTTTGATCAATTACAATGTGTCACATTATTATTTTTGTTGTTAAGTGAGTTGACATGATTAATGAGGTAGAGAATTTTTTGATGATGTGGTATGCTATGATTGATCAAACATGATTAATGAGATGAAGAATTTTTTGATAATGTGATACACTATGATTTATCAATAGTACTACGTTAGTAATATTCTTAAGATACAGTAGATTTTTTTGTGGAGATGAGAGGATATTTTTTCCTACATAAAATTTTTCTCACTTCCCATTTATGTTTCCTATGAAATATTAAAAAAATAAATTTAAGATAATTTAAATATTTAATTCATAATTATAAGTATATTTATTATTTATTTTTAACAATTAAATAAAAAATAAAATTTTTTTAAAACAAAATTTTAATGTCATTTAAGAACTCAAATGGTGGTTATTAACCACACGACGGTGGTGAGAGGTCACTGATAACGTCACCGGCCAGCTTCC